GATATTTTCTTATATATACATATAAGAAAATATCAATTTAAAATTTTAAATCAACACCTTTCTTAATAATGAATAAATCAAATATTTTTTTTTTGTGTATGCTTGCAATTTCCTTGCAAATTCAACAAAAAAAAATAACAAACCCCAAAATGAAAATAAAACAAAAAAGAGTATGGTGATTTTACCCATTCAAAAAGGATTTGAATAAAGTAAATGAATGAATAAATGAATGAATAAATGAATGAAAAGTTTAAATAAAGAAAAAAAAACAAAAACTGAAAAAAAAATAATCTCTTTTTGTTTATATAAGTAAATATTACTGACTTCAATCACGCCAATTAACTTTTAATGGTAAACAAATTGTATACAAATTACCTGAATGGGGGTATTTTTAAAGTAAATTATTTAAACATTAAAAATCCTTTAAAAACCAGCAACACTACACAGTAAATACATAACAAGTGCAGGGTAGTATATAAGATAAATAGATTTGTTTGTATATATAAAAGTGAATGAACTGAATATAAGGCGGTAAGTATATAAGGTGGCTTTTATTAGATATTATGGCAACTTTTAATTACATTCAACATATTATTTTATACATACAATAAAAATATTAAAAGAAGATTATATTTCTGACATAAACGCTTTAAATTTTATTACAATTATTATAAATAAAACAAGTTTATAATTGTTTTTTTTTTCTGAGTGTACGCCATTATATGAATAATTAAAATATAATTAAATTATAAAATTACTCATGCATTAAGAAAAAATTAAATCAAATATAAAAATTTCCACAAGAGATAATATTAATTATATAATTTTGATTTTCAGGCCGGTCATTACGCCCAAATGTATGCAATTATTATTTTAATTTTACTATTATAATATTTTATGAAATTTGTAATAATATGAAATTTTTCTCTTAAAAGAGAATACAAAGCACATTTTGTCATTTGGAAGGGCCGTATTAATTAGTAGATGAAGAAGTTGAATGCACCTAAATAATTCATAATATAATTTCGAATACGAATTTATGAATATGAACTGTTATTGTAGGTGATTATATTGTAATAGATGGAATTCAGCATTGATAAACTGCTAATATCGTGAATTATCTTTTCCAAAATATGTGCTACTTTATAAATCATTGGTTTAATTCTGAAAACACACCTAAATTAATGTACACCTAATGAATAATAATTCAAAAAATTTTACCTATAAAATCAACCTATTCATTTAAATCCTCTTTAAATTTAATATGATAAAAAAAAATTTTTAATTAAAAAAAGCACTCTAATCCACTAGTACTAAAATTGTTATGAATAGTAAAACAGGAAAGTGCATTTACCGTAAAAATTTTTCAGCTCAAAAATATTATTTATAGATTTTTTTTATGAAAAATTAAAAAAAAAAATAGGAAATATCTCAAATTCTATTCTACAATATCTAAATCAAATTAAAAATAAAAAAAAATTATGAAAATATTTTTAAACGGCATTAAATTTTTTCATAAAAAAATAAACAAACTGGCATTTTACCACATATTTAAAAAAAAAAAACAATTATTATAAAATAAACATCAGTGTGTGTCAAGGCTTGATTTTTTTTTTTTGTTTTAAATTTTCTTTTTTTTTTGTTCACCCATATGCTACAGTCCCCACATAAATCATATTGTCAATTAATTTTAAAAATATTTAAAGCAAAAAAAATTTTGCTTTTAGTTTGAAAAATTTGATATTTATGAAAATATTTTGGAGAAAAAAATTTATATTGTATATAAAATATAGAAAAATTGTGCATATTGCATATATATAGGCGCCTGTATAACAAAAGTATAGCATTATATTGTTGAAAACAAAGTGTTGCGTTGAAATTATTTATTATATAAATTAAATTATATATTCAGTTGAAAATTAAAAGATACTTTGTGGCTACGGTCTCTGGTGAGGTAAAAAACTAATTGGAACTTTAATTAATTAAGATTACTTTAACAACTTATTAGAAATGATTTCTTAAAAAACAATATTGTATTGTATTTTTAAAGAATATTTTCGGCTTACTAACGAGGATAAGTTCAAAAATGGAATTTGTTGAAATGAAATTTTCAACAAATTTCCCACAATCAGAATAAAATCGGCAATAATCACCCATCAATCTTTAATTAGCTTCAAATAACCTTAACAAATCGGTACGTTAGCTCACTTTTTTAACACATTTAATTTATGGCTTTTAATTGGCTGTTCCTCTCAATTTTTACTACACTATTTTAATATGAATATATTTAATTTATTTAAGTATCATTGGATACAAATGCAAAAGAGAATCCATTCTATTTTTAAAATTCCTGTTTTTCAACACTAAATTGCTGGTTATTCACTTATTTTATCGCGGGATTCTGGTGTATTTCTTTTACATTGTTTCCTCCTTCATGCTCATATAGTTGTCTCGTTTTATCCGCTTATTCTGATATACTTTGCCGCCTCCTTCGTACTCACATACCCCTAACACTGTCTCTATATATATTTTTAACCAATTCAAAAGAAAATTATTTTCTATATTTTTTGACCTAGATTATTTTACAATTAGAATATTTTCGTCACAATTAAAAAATACAAAAAAAAAAATAGAAATAATAATAAAAATAACAATAAGAATAAAAAGAACAAAAGAATTTTTCAACTCTTAAAATTCTATTTTAGAATAATTTAAGTATGAAGAAATACAAAAAAAATTCATATTCTCTCATCTATTTTTATTCTCTTACATTTTCTTATTTTTATTCTTTTATTCTTGTTATCATTTTCCTTTTTTCTATTTTTTTTCCTTCTCTATATCAATTTTTCTTTCAAGGATATGAACACTTAACCGTAAACAACCTTGAAATAATTTTCAAATGACCGACTTATTTTTGCTTTTTTTTTTTCTTATTGCAGTTGTTGTTGTTATTTTTCTTCCAATTTTTTTTTCTGATTTATTTTTGTTTTCGGTTTTTACTCTTATTTTATCCCACTTAAAAAACTGAGCATATCACTATAACAGAGTTACAAAATAATCAAAAATGCAACAACTTAAATACCTATAATTCTCTCTCATATATGCACATTTGTATATATATATATATATTTATATATAGGAAATTGTATGATAGTTGGTGTGTGTATGTATTGCGTTTACGATAGCACTTGGTATATATATGCTTAAAGTGATTTACTCTAAATGACACACTTAACCCAATACAACAACTTTTTTTTGTTTTTCTTCTTTTTCTTTTTCTTTTTTTTGTACATTCTTTTTAAAGTGGATGATTTTTTTTTCAATTTCTATTCTTGCATTCTACTCATTTTTTTCCTTCTTGTTTTCATAATATTTTTTTTATAAATTATTTTATTTTTAACATTATAACAAGAAAAAAAAATGAGCGAAAAGCAAAAAACCAAAAGAAACAAAAAATCATTTACGGAAACACTCAGTTTTATTCTGTTGTTCTTTTTATTATGGTTGTTGTTATTATTTTATTTTAAAAGTCATTGTAGGATACTGAGATATCCTAGTAGGTATGTGTACTTTATATTAAAAAAAAAAATTCTATGAATTTTCCATTACGACAAAATAAATTGCAAAAAACGGGAAAAAAAATATTTTATTTTATATTTTTACGATGAAGGAAGTCTATCGGAAAATGGTCAACTCCATAATAGGGAAATAATTTAAATTCTAATTTAGGAAATTTAATAAACTATATATATATTTTTTATAAATTTTTAGTAAAAAATTTAAGGGCAGTTATAATAAAGGTATTCCCATTCGGATATATAAAAAAATTTACCCAGGACAGAATAAAAATTTTAAATAAAAGTGGAAGAGCCCAGATTTTTCGGCAATACTTTTAAAAAATCTACTTAACCGTCCCATAGAATTACACTTTATAAATTTTCAAATAAATATTAAAATAAATCCGATATTTATATCAACCGATACCAACTAATTAAACCTAATTTCCCGCAAGAGTATGTAACAAATAAAAATTAAGTTCGAAACTCTTAATATTCAAAAAAAATTTTTATACAATACTAAATATTAAAATTATTTTGATCAATTTATTTAATATTTAACTGTATATTTTTTATATAAATCAAATAGATGACATATAAAAAGACAATGAACGGATGAATGTACCCATTTAATATAGTGGTATACACAAATAGACATACGTATTACGAGTACTCGTATATATATTTTGTTTACGAGAAGGATGAAAGATTGGTATATGGAAGTGACAAACAATTGTTGTATTCCGGTTATCATTACTGACAATAAAAAAATGGTTCCATTTTGATTTCTTCTTTCTATTTTATGGATTTTGTTATAAGTATAAAATAAATATTGAAAATAATACATAAATATTGAAATTAAAACATGACGTAATTATTTGTGGCAATAGAATGTATATGTGAGCTATTTGATTTGATTTATTCAATTACACGTACATAAATCTAATATTTATATATACGTATAAAAAAAAATTGCAACATCTTTCACGTCTAAATGCTCAGAGACATTAAAATTTTGAAAACAGATAAATCCATTACTCACATATTTTATTAATTGTCAACTATTGAGTTAAATTAATAACCTCACAAAAAATATGTATATAAACTGAAAGTATTAATTATTTTATTCAAAAAATTTGATTGAAGTACTTGAACAATATAACAATTTTTCATTTCTGTATAACAAAATGTATAGTGTTCCAATTAGGAATTACTCCAAACTATTCTACTCTAGTTTTCATAGAGTTAAGAGAACAAAGAAACTTTACTCTTGCAATTAATGTCAGAATAGAATTCAATGTTACAAAATTTTCATAAAACAGTAAACCAATTGAAGGTTAATCTTCATTCTTATAACCTCAAAAATATAAACGTACTTATACTCAAATACTACAAAAAAAACAACAAAAACAAATAAGTATAATATAAAAAAACAGTACTTACATATTATTCTTTCCACAAAATTCCCAACTTAACCTTGAATGGTTTATAATATGCTTAATATATTTTTTAAATAATTATATTAATTAATTTATTATATTCTCACAATACGCACATATACGTTTAAATATTGTTATACCAATATTTTAATTATAATAAATGAATTTATTTAAATAATTTTTTTTTTATTTAATTTTTTTAAGAAGATATTAGAGCATTTTTTTTTTTTTGCTTTTTAATATATAAACACCCAATTATATTATAATAATATTAATAGAAAACACTATCTATATACGTATATATATATATATAATAATTATATCACGAGTATAACACTAAACCACAATATTATGGTATTTATATTTTTTTTATAAATTATTTTAATTCACTTTAATTTAAATTTTTTTTACATACATATATAATATGGCATAAATATTTGATTTTCATTTAATGATTAAAATAAAGAGAAAACCAAAAAAATAAAAGAAATATAAAAATATATTAAAAAAAATAAAATATTAAAAAAAATTAAATATTATATTTAAAAACAAAAAAAAAAACAATTTCTACAAAGCACACAATATTTTTAATTTAAATTCTCAAGGAATTAACTTTTTATTCTTAATATATTCAAATTATTTTAATTATACAATTAGTATGCCACTTTTATTTATATATTATATTATTTTATAGCAATATTGTTATAAAATGAAATATTCTACAATATAATTAGGTAATTATACAAAAATGGACACACAGAAAATTTTAAGTAAATATGTGTATTTTTACAATAGTAATAAAATAATTCACTTTCATACAGTTAAAACAGTTATATAAAACTGTTATACAAAACTGTTATACAAACTGTTATACGCAATGTATATTATAGTTGCAGATTTTTTTAACAATTATATGATGATTTTATTTTCAAATATTTAATAAAAATGAGTTTAATTAGTATTAGACTAATATATTAAAGTAACATCAATTACTTACATAATTATTAAAGAATTATATTTTTAAAAATATTGTTGTATTTAATATATGTATTGTTATAAATATTATGCACAATTATTAGAGGTATAATACAGATGTTAAATTTTACAGAGTAACTGTTATACAAACCGATTTAAAAATACACTGCATATCACTAAATTCACTAAATGTATTTGTCAAGTTTAAATTTCAAATATTTTTGTTTTTTTTTGCTTTAGTTTTATACCGTGTCGCCCATTTTATATACTTATATATATTTATAATATTTACGCATTATTTTTTATTTTAGCAATAATATTAAAAATATCCTTTTACTTTGTTTCTTTAGGAAATAAAAAAAAAATATATAGGACTCTTTAATTTTTATGTATGTATTAAAGTTCTGAATAATGATTTTATATTATATAACTGTATGTATGTATGTGCACAGAGTTTAAATATAACTTTTTATTTAAATGCTGCCCTTGCAGTCCAATGGCTTCATTTATTACCTATAAAGAGGAAAAAAAAAACTAATTTAATTTTATATTTTCATTATAATTTTTTTTTGTTTTTTGTTAAATTTCAAATTTTCAGAATATTGTGAAAAATTGTTATACAAGTAAATGTTTTCACATAATTCTTGGCTGTTGCTCGACTTATGCTTGTTCAGTTAAATTAACAAAAAAAAACTAAATAAGAGAAAAATGTCTTAAATTGGGCCAGCAGGTTTGTGATTTTTGAGATTAATGATAATTTTATTTGTTATACTGGGGCTGCAGTATATAGTTAAGTGTTGTTGACCCGGTATATGAAAGTAATTGAAAAACATTTATTATATGCATTTCATTTCAGGTCCGCCCCGAAAGTAATACGTTTGTACTCAGTAGGAGGGTGGTGCGAATGCCGTATAGTCTTCTTACTCCAAATTTCAAACTACTTTCTCCATTTTACTGTTGTATTTTAGGTTGAAAAGGAGAATATAATCAACATTTTAAAAATCATGTTACACTATAATTATTATATATGCTTCTCATTTATTTAAATCGAAAATTTTTATTATTTTAAATATAAATATTTGTATAGTTGATTATTTTGTTGAATAAGTTTTTTTTTGACCATTGAAAATTTTAGAATTTAATAATTTTAAGTGTTAAGCTGCAATATAAATATTTAAATAATATTTTATACGACACATTTAACAGACAAATGATAATAATTATATGGATATCATTTTTATCCCTTAACACACACACTTTCTACACCTAATATAGATGTAAATAGGCATAGCCATATAGGCATAAAATATAGAGAGATTATTCTCACTTTATTATACAAAATAAATTTATTAAATGAAAATTTTATTAATGTAGGTCATTTGAGGTTGAATCATTATAAAAATTTGTTTTTTTTTTTGGAAATTAAATTAAGTAAATTAAAATAACAAGCATAGAAATTAGTAAAGTAAAAATTAAAATAAAATTTTTATAGATTTAATTATACATTCAATATTACTTGCATACATACAAGTGAATTTTAAATACAATATACAAAATTATCCGGTAAATAAGTGGTTTTTCCTAAAGCAAAATTTTAGATTTTGAAATTTTGTTTTTAAACTTAATCAATATAATTACAAATTTTTTGTACAGAACAATGGACATGGCAATTAAATTTGAATTTGAAATGTATATGTTGATTACAAATTGTACATTGGTTTCTGCATGAAAACTATCTTTATCGTCGCACAAATTCTGGTTTCCAGTAAATATCAACTCATCATTGATATCAAAATTACTGGCCTAGTACGTATTTAGCTAATATAGAAATGGAAGAAGCGTTTGGTAACAATTGTATAACAGTCAGTATAAATGGATGTAATGTTATGCTACAAACTACTTAAACTGCGAACTTTAAATGAACTTTGCTAATATCAAATTTTTATTAATTGGTAGTTGCAATATATAAAAAATTTTTAAAATGTTCAAAGAATTTGGCAACTTTTCAAATCAATTACAATTAAAAATCAAATTAAATTTGAAATAAATAAAAATATAAATTGATTTTTTACCATCTACTGGTATACTAGGGGCGATATGAAGAATGTCTATTTTTCTATCTCATAATTTTATTTTATATATTTCTTGTTCAATAAGATTTTTGAACTTTTACAATAAACCACATAAATCAAAATTACTAACGCCTTCTAAAATTAATTTTATATTTCCAAAATAAATACTAGCATTTGAATAAAAAATGTTAACTACAGATTATTGACCAATAACTGCAGGAACTTGATTTTATTTATCATCTATACTCACACACATATTACATGCACTTATAAAAAAAATTCTGATTAAAATTAAATATTAAATACCTTGTATAATCAAATTTCTCTGATTTTAGATCAAAAAAATATTCAATTTTATTCCATTTACGATTTTATTTATCGACTGCAATTGCATCCACAATAAGAGAGGCATTGTAATCGTTCTCAATATAGTCAAGGAAGCTTATTTTCTTCCATATAACATATACGGAGCCCGAAACAAGTATTTTTGGCGAAATTATTTGCAACCTAAAATACGTAACCATTCCTCTCATAGTAATTTTAATTATACACGAAGTTCGTTTTGTATTTGGAAATTATTAAACAATATGGCCGATCATATTCGGATCACACCAATTTGGATTTCCGAAGCATCTTTTTATATAAAATTTTGAATGTATTTATTTTGTAAATTTTTTAAATACCCTTAAAATGTTTTAGAATTTTAAAATATTTTCTCAATAAAATGAAGAGGATCACATCGAATTTTCTTTAAAAGGAGGAAAATACCTATTAACATCTTATTTATCTCTGTCTGCTCCCCCCTACGTCCTCTTATTCTACATTAATAACGATATATATACACAATCGTTCCATCTCCTTTTTCAAATTAAATATAACTAGGTAACTTTTACATTTTTATAAATCTTGACATTTTAATATAAAAATATTCTTTTGAAAAATTTGAAAATTTTAAAATTTATAAATTATTTTGTTTCTTTGTACACAAGATGGCAGTAAACTTTATTTTATTTTATTGCACTATTCTTCTTTATTTGCACATAAAATATCGAATATTTTTTTTTTAAATTTTTCTCTTAAATTTCCAATTTTTATCAAATTTATAAAATATACTTATATAATATTATATTGGCTATAATAATGTTATATATTATAGTATAACAGTTTATATTATATAATACAATAGTGCTTGAATTGAATGTAGAAAAATAAAAGAAATAAATTATCTCAAAATTTTATAGTAAAAAATAATGTGAGAATTCAACCTTAGATTAACATATGTTCATACGAAAATTCTATTCTTATCAGAAAAAAATTTCTTGTATACACATCAGCATAGAATTTTACCGAATAAGAGTACAATAAAATAAAAAAAAAAAACAAATGTAAATATACAAATATACAAATGTGCAAACAAATGTTTTTTTTTTTCAATACATAAAGGAAAGCAATTTTCAGGATATAGATTTTCTTTTTTCAATGTAATAGGAGTTGAAAGGTTTTATTTTTCTGTATTTACATGGTCTATAGTAGTTATATAACAATACAATGCTTGTATAACAATAATATTTATAATATATATGAAAAAAATTCTTAATATTTAACAAGTTTAAAAGTTGCAGTTAGGATTACAATGCAACTTTAAGTTACCTAAAATGGTCGCATATTTTTACGATATTGAGTTTGCCTCCCCCTCCCCCTTATTTTATGAGGAAGAATAGAAGTTCGGGATACATCTTCAGTTGTAACGTGGAGCTTTGTACCAGAAAGAGAAATTAATCTTTGATTCCCGGTAAAGAAGCAGAAAAAAGGTTAAGAATTGCCCCCACAAGACACTCGAATTTTTAATAAAATATTTTTTCAGAGAAGAAGAAGGAGGCACATTAGATCCTACTAATAATGAATCAAGGTTTACGGTTACCTCAATTTTGAACTGGAGAAGGCCGTCATTGACGATTAGTCTCGTGACTGTGACAATATCATCCAATTTGAAGGTATTCACTTCAAACTGCGAATAATATTTCTCAACTACTTAAATAAAAAAATTGTAAGATGGTTAACACGACAGGCATCCCGAAATTAATCTCCTGGTGGTTAAATACTTGAAGTTGTAATTGATAAGACATCAGCGGATACTTTCTGTGATCCCGGTTCGGTAAAATCTCCATTCAAGGGCTCAAAAAAATTTGATGTAAGTTTGATTTATATACC